ACTCCATGGCACATAACAACAGCAACATCACATTACTTAGCATATATTAATTATTACATTACTTCTCCTAGTGAGGCAACTTTTAGTATGTCTATTTTCAGATTTAAAAAAACTGGAATCTTACAAGGGTCACAAAGCTAGATGTGGTAAAGTCAAGATTCACACCAGACTCTGTTTGATCTTCATGTCCATTGCACTTTTCCTTAGATCATTTTTGGACCTAATCCCAGAAACACAATATTGGTCAAGGGCAATAATGCATCCTGGCTTACCAAATTCTACTTCCAGTGTATCCTTGTCGGGCTCCAGAATATTTGGCTTGGAATTAGTGTCCTTCACTAAAATATAAAAATAAAGTCATTGTTTACATTGGGAAATCTGAAGACCCAGCTTGCTGATAATTTGGGTGTTTGGTCACACTTTGACCTTTCTGGCATTACCTTTTTATATTTTATCCATCATTTGTAAGAATTCAAGTTTTCATGTCAAAAGTGTGCCTCCACAATTGATTGTGGTACCAGGGTTTGGGTGCCAGCAAAGGATTAGTCCATCATCCATCAATTTCATCCAAAGTAAATGGTCTTCCACACCAACCCTGCTCACCAGTTTCAATCCTAAGCCCTTATCCCTGCCTTCTTTAAGATTTTATTTTGGTGCCATGTGGAATCTACCTAAGAAAATGTACAACTCCAGACCTGGTTTACTCTCTCTATCACCAAACTCATGGTTTGTTTCAAAATAAAGAAGAGTCTGACCATTAATCTAGTTATTTACCCCTCAACTTACTGCCATAAACAGTCAAATTTACCTTCACTGTCAAACTTCCTTCTGAGGATGTCCTATTCTCTGTTAATGGAAAAATTCATCACCTTTGCTCTAGACATTATACATTATCTAACCCTTACTTTTCAGAGATCTTAGTTCCTCAATTATACCCTCCCTCTCCTGTATCATATAATTTGATGAGCTTCTTTCCATTAGCACTTACACATGATCGTTTTCTTAAAAAAGATAAAGAAGGAAAAGTCCTTCACTTCACATCTCCATCTTATTGATTCTCTTTCCTTCACAGCTAGATACTTGAAAGAGTTCTGAACATTCATCTTCTCCATTCCTTCACTTCAAAGGACCCTGGTTTCTGCTCCCAATACATCACACATGAAAAAAGCAAAAGGTCATTAATAAGATAGGATGTCAGAAGAGACTCTGAAACTTGATCTTGTCATTGTTGCTTTAGCTTCTCTTACATACAAGACCAAGTTTTAGAGTCTCTTCTTGTATCCAGTTGTATGATTTTCATGATGTCATCACACAATTCCTCTGGGCTTCGGTCATTAGTGTCTAATGTGACAAATCTGTTCTTGAGATGGTCTCTAAATTCAGGTGAGATATGCTCAAGGTCATATTTAGGCGCTCATGGACTTATCTTAATTTTCTTCAGCTTCAGCCTGAATTTATATATGAGCAATTGATGGTCTGTTTCACAGCCAGCTCCTGGCTTTGTTTGGCTGATGATACTGAGCTTCTTGATCATCTCTTTTCCACAGATGTAGTTAATTTGATTTCTGTGTGCTCCGTCAAGAAAGTTCCATGTGAATAGTCACTGTGCATATTATTGAAAAAATGGTATTTGTAATGGATAAGTCATTGGTCCTGCAAAATCCTATCAGGTCATATCCAGTATCATTTCTATCACCAAGGCCATATTTTCCAACCAATGACTCTTCCTTTTCCCCCCAACTTTAACATTCTAATAACCAGTAATTATCAATTCATCTTGATCATGTTTGATGAATTTCAGATTGAAAAAGTCAGTAGAATTCTTTGATTTCTTCATTGTTGACTTTTGTGTTTGGTGTGTAAATTTGATTAATAGTAGTATTCGCTGATCTTATGTGTAAGTGTATGAATGTTATTCTATCACTGACAATATTATACTTCAAGACTGATCTTGAAATGCTCTTTTTGATGATGAATGCCATGCCATTCCATTTCAATTTGTATTTCCCAGCATAGTAAACCATATATCTGTCCAATTCAAAATGATAGATACCAGTCCATTTCTGTTCACTAACGCTTAGGATACTGATCATTATGGATTCCATTTCAATTTTGAAGACTTCCAATTTTCCTAGATTCATACACTGTACATTCCACATTCCAATTATTAATGGATGCTTGCAAGTGTGTCTTATCCTTTTGAGTTTTATCCCATCAGCAAATGAAGGTCCCAAAAGCTTTGCTCCATCCACTGCATGAAGGTCAATTTTACTTTGAGGAGACAGCACTTAGTGGTTGTATTTTTAGTGCCTTCCAACCTTAGGGGCTCATCTTCTGTCACTATATCAGACAATGTTTTTCTGCTATTCAAATGATTTTCAGTACTAACCTTTCAGAAGTAATCTTGAATGTAAAGAAGCTAAGGTGATTGGGAAGAAATGATGAAGTAAAAGACCCTAACAGAAAATGTCAAAGAGCAGCTCAAGAAGACAAAGCAAAGTATTATAATGAAGTGTGCAAAGACTTGGAATTAGGAAACCAAAAGGGAAGAAAACACTTCAGCATTTTCAAGCTGAAAGAACTGAAGTACAAATTCAAGTCTCAACTTGCGCTATAGGCAAAATATTAAGCAAATTCAGGAAGTATCAAATGAAGATATAAGGAATACACAATCACTGTCCCAAAAAGATGTGGTTGATGTTCAACCATTTCAAAAGGTTCCTTATGATCAAGAACTGATGATATTGAGGAAGAAGTCCAAGGTGCACTGAAGGCATTAGCAGAAAACAAGGCTCCATTAATTGATGGAATACAAATGGAAATGTTTCAACAAACTGATGCAGTACTATAGGTGCTCACTCATCTATGCCAAGAAATATGGAAGCTAACTACCTGCCCAGCCAATTGAAAGAGATCCATATTTGTGCCCATCCCAAAGGAAGGTAACCTACTAGAATGTAGAAATCATGGAACAATATAATTAATGTCCCATGCAAGTAATTTTGCTGAAGATAATCCAGAAATGTCTATAGTGGTACATGGACAAACAACTACTAAGAATTCAACCTAGATTCAGAAGAGATTGTGGAATGAGCTATATAATTGCTGACATCAAATTGATCTCAGCTGAAAGCAGAGAATACTAGTAAGATGTTTATGTGTTCTTTATTGAGTAAGCACAGGTTTACTCAAGATTGTTGTGTGAATCATAACAAACTATGGATAGCATTATGAAGAATGAGAATTCTAGAACACTTAATTGTGCTCATGAGACAATCTATACATAGACCAAAAGGCAATGATTTGAACAGAATAAGAGGATAATTAATGTTGTGTGGTGCTGTAGGATCAGCACTGGACTGTGTACCACAAGGTCAGTAGTTCAAACCCACCAAGCTGCTCCTCAGAAACCCTATACAGAGTCATTAATAGTCAAAACTGACTTGATGACACTTAACAACAACATGGGGTAAAATTTAGAGAAGTGTGTGCCAGTGTTGTATTTTTTCACCATACTTATTCAATCTTATGCTGAGCAAATAATCCGAGAAACTGGAGTATATAAAGAAGAATGCAGTATCAGTAATAGAGGTAGACTTAACAAACTTTGATTTCTGGAAGCAAAGAGAACTTGAAATACTTACTGATGAAGATCAAGGAATACAGCCTTTATTATAGATTGTGCCTGTAAAGAGAATGTGAAGAAAGCAAAAGTCCTCACAACTAGGCCAATAAATCACATCATGATAAATGGAGAAAAGATTGAAGTTGTCAAAGATTTCATTTTCCTTCAATCTACAACCAATGATCATGGAAGTAGCAGTTAAGAAATCATATGAACTTTCGCATTAGGCAAACCTGCTGCAAAAGACCTCTTTAAAGAGCTAAAGAACAAAGATATCACTTTGAGGACTAAGGTGCACCTGACGCAAGCCATGGTATCTTCACTTGCTTTATATGCATGCAAAATCTGGATAATGAATAAAGAAGAGCATAGAAAATTGACGCATTTGGTGTTGCCAAAGAATATTGAATATACCAGTGACTGCCAGCAGAATGATCAAATCTGTTTTGGAATAAACGATGGTGAGACTTCATCTCTTGTGCTTTGGACATGGAGAAAGACCTCGTGCTTGGTAAAGTGAAGGGTCATTGAAAATGAAGAAGACCCTCAATGAGATGCAAACAGCAATGGGATCAAACATAACAACAATTGTGAGGCTGGAGCTGGACTGGGCAGTATTTTATTGTGTTGTACACTATGAGTCAGAGCTGACTAGAGAGCATCTATTGACAACAGTTTATCACTGTGACATGGAGGACTTGCAAGTCCTTTCAAGACTATCACTTCATTTCTCCTGCAAACTCTCTTCTACACTTCTATGACTACCTCTCTCTCGCTCTTTTTTTTTTTTTTTTTTTTTTAAAAAAAAGCAACCTATGGCAAAAGGCAGAATATATCTCATCTGTTCCATGGGAGAAAAATGAGGCTTTCTGCTCCTATAAGGATTTACAACCTTGGAAACCCTGTGCAGAGTTGCTATGAGTCGAAACCGACTCCATGGCATACTGCCACCACCACCACCATCACCATGCAGTGAAAATCTCACTTACCATAGGTTTTTACTCGAACCACAGCTCTGACTGTCCAGGAACTTGCATTGACCGACTGTGTATAATCGCAAACATACGTGCCACTGTGATAGTCATAAATTTCACCCAACTGCATTGGATTGCTTTTTTCTTCAAGGAGTAGCTCTCCGTCCTAATCCAAAACAAGAAGGGTCAATAGCAATTTGAACCAGGGGATTTTTAGTAACATTAATTACACCTGTAGGCAAATTATCAAATTTGAACCAGTGTGGTAAAACATCAGTCTGAGATAAGAATATTCCCTAAGCTATGAAGAGATTGTGTTCAAACCCGTATTTGCAAGATTCTTAGTTGAAGTAATAAGCATTTTCTAATACAATTACATTATGTATGGTGATCAGGGAGCCAAAGCTGGTCAGTGGAGAGTTATTTAATCCAGTACTTTCCATAGCATGGCTTAGACTATTGAAAGTATTCTATAAAACTCTTAGTGTGTTTTCAATAACACACAGAGTGCCTGGGCGGTATAAACAGTTAATAACTTGGCTACTAACGAAAAGTTTGGCAGATGTAATCTTTTGAAATACCTCAAAAGAAAGGCCTGGTGATGTACGACATCTGAAGGATCTCACAGCCAGTGAAAACCTCACAGACTGTGTTCTACTCTGAGTCAGAACCAACTCACCAGCAAATTGCTTTCTATTTATATAGAGAGAGACAGGTTTGTGTGTGTGTGGTGATAATATAAAGTTGCCTCTTTAACCCCAACAAAATCTAATAAAATAAAACTCAAATGAAATCATTAAGTAAATTATTGAACAGGTAGGTGGTACATAAATATTACAAAGAATGAAGATTGAAAAACAATGATTTAACTCAAAAAGACCCAAAGTTAACTGAGAAATAAATGTCTGGTGTGGCACTGTGGGTTAATGTACCAGAGTGCAAAGCTGTTTGATCTGCACACTTAACAACAACAGGAGCATGACTCTTCCTTATTCAGAATCTATCAATGACTAGTTTTTGCTTCTAGGATAAAACCTGAGATTCACCATGGTCTGATCTTGCTGTTCCTTCCCTGCAATTGCGACAACTCACTGCCATTCCCTAAATTAACCATCTTACTTACTGATGTGTTTGCACATATGTTTCCCCAATTTTCCCTTCTTGGTCAGCTGTTGCTCAACCTTCAACCCCAATTGGAGAGGTACTTCTTATGGAAATAAGTTATCAGCTACACCCAGGGAACAAGCAATCACTTCACTCTCCCAGATTCCCCAAGCACAGACCTTCATTATTGCACATGAGCCATTTTATAGAAATTGTGTGTTTATTTAACTGTTTCCGTAGTTGACGAGAACTGTCTTTGTATCAAGACCATCGTGGATCCCTTTTTTCAGTGAGCTCAGCTCTCAGTCTAAATGGGCAAAGAATGTAGCTCCTCAGTAAGAGGCAAAGCCAGAGCACCATGCACGATGTGCAGGGAGTATGGGTGCCCTGACCACAGCTTACAGGACACAGGAGTGCTCCCTGAAGAATGCATAGGAATGAGTCAACTAAAGTAAGTGCCATTCATGAGCATATGAAACAAAATGTGTATACAAGGAAAAAGTAAGAAGGAAATTTGGAGAAGAGAAAAGGGGTTCACCTATAGGTCAAGGTGACAAGGCTGATGCACATAGAGTATGACTGATTTTTATATGTGTAGTTGGCCATCAATAATAATATCTTTGGAAATGATACAAATAAATGAATGTACAATGCAAAGAAAGGTTTTGAAGCATAAGTCATATAATCAGACATTTTAAGAAAAAATAAGGGAGCATGGAAGCTCTTGTCAAATTAAACACAGACTATCAGAATCATATTTTTGTCACTGAGGAATGGATATAGTAATAATTCAATCAATATTTGTTGAATGATTGAATATGGCTGCACTAATACTCCTGTAATACTCCGGGGTGGTATGTCTGGTTATTGCACTCGGCTGATAACCCAAAAGTTGGAATTTCAAATCCACTCAGAGGCAGCTTAGAAGAAAGACCAACTTCCAAAAAACGTAGGCATTGAAAACTCTGTAGAACACAGTCCATAACTAACACACATGGAATTGCCATGAATCAGAGTTGAATTGGTTCTATGACAACTGGTAAATAACATGATAGCCCCTACATATGTATAATGACATTTCTATGCCGAATGTTCTTCTAATTTCCAAGTGTGAGCACTTCTGTACATTCAGTACACTGTAGTCAAAAGAAAAGAGATAAACAATTAAAACATTAAAATAACAATAATCTATCTACATAGATTACAAAAAACTTTTTCATGTGTTATCACATGATGGTTGTTCAAAACGATTCTCTGACTTGGTTTGAACAGATGCTATTTCTATCATGTTACAAGAGCGATTCAAAAATTATCTACACTGCAGTTGTAGTAAAACACCTGTCCAATAACATGGAGCATGCATGTGAAATGATTCTGTCAAATATACTAATGACAGTGGATTATGTGGCAAATAATTTGCAAATCAACCATGTCTCGGCCTATGAAATAAACCATAACAGACTTGGGTTCCAAAAAGTTTGTGTGAGGTAAATACTGAAATAAATCATGGAAGAGCATAAACAGAAGTGTTTGAACATCTGAAAACAAAATTTGGATCCATACTTGAATGAAGGTGAAAGTTAAAAAAAAAAAAAAAAATGTTACTGGTAATGAGACATAGATTCACCATTATGAACCTGAGAGGAAACTGCAGAATATGGAATGGAAACATATTCAATCACCAACCAAGAGAAAATTCAAAAGGCAACCATCATCTGGAAAATTGATGCTTACGGTTTTCTGGGATCCTCAAGGGTCAGTATTGGAACACTATCAGTATTGGAACATTCAACAGTGATTTTTACAGTGAGATGCTCACTGGAGAAACCTCAACTTTGGATTCCATGCAGAGGGCTGCTATCCAAAGACTTTGTGATCTTGCTTGACAATGCACATCCACATCCCTCTGCCCACACTGTTAACACTCTGCAAAAATTTCATTTTGAGGTATTAAAGCATCCTCCCTGTAGTCCTGTTCTTGCTTTATCAGATTTCCACCTCTTTGGTCCCCTGAAAGCAGCACTTTGAGGATGAAGTTTCCCCTCTGATGAAGAAGTGAAGACAGTGGTGCATTCATAGCTCACAGCTCAGTCTAAAACAGGGAATATGACAGCTTGTTGACAGATGGACAAAGGTATTGAAAAGCAAGAAACTTATGTTGAAAAATGATGCATTTGCCTTTTCTGAAAATTGATTAAGATAAATTCTACAGCCCGAGTGCAGATAATTTTTGACTCACCTTCGTATAAATGAGAAAACAGAGGCTCTGGAGTTTAAGTGCTTTGCCCATATCCTAGATCTAGAAAGTTGCAGGAAGGAGAACCAACCTAAATTTTTCTGACTCTGAGTTATATGTTCTAATTGAAGAATTTTCCTTCCTACTTTGCCAGCTGACTGGTGGGCCCAGAGATTTTCCCACTTCAAGAAGAGGTTTCTAGTAGATTGGAAAGGAGGCTAAGAAAGGGACTGAAGCTGGTTAGGGAGGAATGATGGCTACAGGTAATAAATAAAATAAGGCCAAGAGGTGAGAACAAACAAGATTAAATCACTGTCAGGGAGCATCAAGAATTAAGAAGCCTCCAGCAAAGCTTAAGAGCATAAAAGGAAAATTCAGAGAGAAAACTTTAGAAAGTATAGTCGTTGTTGTTGTTATGTGCTGTGGAGTCAATTCCAACTCATAGCTACCCTGTACAGGGTTTCCAAGGCTTTAAGTCTTTATAGGAGCAGAAAGCCTAATCTTTCTCCCGTGGAACAGCTGGTAGTTTTTGAACTGCTGATCTTGCGGTTCACAGCTTGATTTGTAATTACTACGCTACCAGAGCTCCTTAGTGGCATACAAAAATCTGAAATAGTGGTCATAAAGTGGGCCTAGTTTTAAGTATGACTAAAGACTGTGTCACTGAGGCTTTTATGAGATGGAACTTTTATGAGATGAAACACCAAAGAAAGAAATAAAGGAGTAGCAATTTATAGCAAGAATAATAGAGACACATTCTAATAATGCAATCATAAATGATCCTTGAAGGTAAGAGAGAGGTTAATGCAGTTGCATAAAAACTCTTTTGCTCAGATTTCAGTTATGAGCCAAATATAGAAATAGTATGAATAGTGTCAGTAAGTCCTAAAATGAACTGAACCATGTTTAAAAACAGCAACAACAACTCACTCTAAAGAGTATTTAAATGTATGTGTGAAGCAAGGAGAATTAATTATGTAATGTTGTTAGTTGCTGTCGAGTTAATTCTCACTCAGGGTAACCCGTGTGTGTGTGAAGTAGAACTGGACCACAGGGTTGTCAAGACTGTGATCATTTGGAACTATATTGCCAGCCCTGTTCAAACCTCTGAGGAGTTTGAACTGCCAATCTTTTTGACTGGCAGTTGAGTGCTTAATGGTTTGTGCTACCCGGGGACGCTTTTTATTATAATTCGATACCATAATATTGTCAAGCTCTTGTATTACTGGGACTACTGCCACTTCAGGGAGCACCTTGTATTTTGTGGGGATGGAACTTCCTAGGGTTATACAACACAGTTAGTGACTATCTGGATTTCTACTACTCAGTGTGAAAGGACTCCCAGTTTGATCATCTTAGCCCTGCTTTCCTTCATGGACTCCAGACTTCATGTTCCTCTTCAACTTCCCCATTATGGAATCATTTTGTCCAGATATGAACATATTATCTTCTTCTAGTCCTCCTGGTGTGGCGCTGTAGGATCAACACTGGTCTGCAAATCATAAGGTCAGTAGTTCAAACACACCAGCTGTTCCTTGGAAACCCTAGACAGGGTTGCTATGAGTAGGAATTGACTCCATGGCATTAACAGCAACAACAACAACTCCTCAACGTGGTAAATGCTATTAACATCTTTTGCACCAGAAAGACCCAACAGGGTATAATAATTTCTTTCACATTCCATAGTCAGAGCATTTAACCTTTTTATTCCATGAAAATATCACTGGCATCTGCCATTTTCTTTGTGATCTCACTGACGGTTTCCTGGATCAGAACACCCACTGTAAAGTTCAAGCACATCAACAGGGTGTTGTTTCTATAGCCTA